AAAAGTGACCATTCTATCTTGTCAAAACAAACACTTCTAGAAACAAATTAGATTTTCCCCAACAAATTGGAAAAATCATTTGTCTACTTGTTTGTTTGTGCAAGTTGTCATACCAGAATGTGACAGCTTTACATACATGATTCTGTTTTACGTTTGTCTTGGCATTACATTTTTAACCCCCTAAATTACCAGTGGAGGACAGCATTAAATTGCAGTCTAGCATCCTGCAGGAGCTCTTGTATCTACCACTTTCTGGATGGATAACCTATGGCCAGTTAGAGTAAATGCCTCTTTCCTCAGTTTCCTCATCTGTAAAATTAAGGTAATAAGCGTATCTTCTAAATAGAGTTGCTATAAAAATTAAAGGTGGATGTATAGATAGATAGACGGATAGATAGATGATAGGTAGATAGATGATAGAGACAGACAGACACACAGACAGACAGACAGACAGGCAGACACACACACACATACACACACACACACAGAGAAGAGTCTTTGGCAGGTAATAAATGCCACATGTTATAGTTACTATCATGCTTACCGTTACCACAAAGAGAATGGTGACATTGTTGGGCTTCTTTATTTAAATGCTCTATTACAAAACTTTCTGGTTAAGTACCTCTGGTATTAGTCTATAGAAGAAAGAAGAGGTGGATTTTGGATGTTGTAATTAGAATCTCATGATTGCATGGGCAAATTTCCAAAGAAAAGATTTATACATAAAACATAAAAATAACTAATGATTTGAAAAGTCATAGCATGAAACCCCACTAATATGAATGCTTTAGAAATAGTTAATTCTCTTCAAATTAAGAATGTTCTGAGAAGGTTTTCTTGACTATTTATGGCACATTTTTCTTTGTTTTGTATCAAGAATAATACCATAACATATATGTATATGTGTAAAATATCGGTCTCATCTGATGCGATAATGTGTTATTGAGTTAGTAATAAGTATCACTGAGTTCTTTGGCTAATTAAAAAAGAAAGCAAAAATTTTATTTTAAAAGTTTTAATATTTTGTCTTTTATCACTAATGTGTTGTCTAAATAAATTTTTGTAATTGTTTTATTGAGATACAATTCACATGTCACACACTTTTTCCATTTAATGTGATAATTCAATTGTTTTTAGTATAGCCACTGTTACAGAAATCATCACCACATTCAAGTTTAGAACATTTTCATCAGCCCCAAAAGAAACTCTATTACCCATTAGCAATCACTCTCCATTCCCCCTCCACCTGCCGCTGGCAACCACTTTCTATCCCTATAGACTGGGCCTATTCTGGGCATTCCACATCAATGGTAATACAATATGTGTTATTGTGCCTGTCCTCTTTCACTTGGCATAATGTTTTCAAGGGTCCTCCGTGTAGTAACATGTACCCGTACTTTATTCCCTTTTATTGCCTAATAATATCCACTGCATGGCTATACCACACATTGTTTATCCATTCATCAGTTGATGGACATTTGAGTTTTTTTCTGTTTTTGGCTATTATGAATAATGCTGCTTTGAACTTCTGTCACATTTTTATGCAGACATGTTTTCATTTCTCTTGAATATATACCTAGGAGTAAAACTGCTAAGTCTTATGGTAACTTTATGTTTAATCATTAAGGAAATGCCAGACTTTTCCAAAGTGGCTGCATCATTTTACCTTTCCACCAGTAGTATATACGGGTTCCCATTTCCCCGCATCCTTGTCAACACTTGTTACTGTCTTTTTATTATAGCCATCTTGAGAGTGTGAAGTAGTATCCACATGCAATTTTTAGATGTAAAAACATGGAAATATATTAGGCAAGGAAATAAAATCTGTTATGATAAGAGAAAGCATGAAGAGAATAGGAAAAGGATCCTGTGGTCAGGCTGGAAAAGGCAACAGGAGATGTTTTTAAATGTTACTCAATTGCATGTCCTTATGCAACTAACGGCCCTATCCAAAGTGTCAGGATTAGGGAGCCAGCCCTCAATTTCACATCTGGAGCTTATAATAATCATAGCAACAACTCTTGGCTTACGGATTTATTTTATAAAGTCCCTTCCCATGTTATACCCCATTCGATCCAATATCTTAAATCTTATATGGGAGAGTATTTTTCCCACTCTGCAGGTAAGTGTGCAAAGACCCAGAGTGGCAAATGACTTGCCCCAAAAAATGATAGTTAAAAATACATTCATACATACATACATACATATTAAATAAATACAATTCACAAAGCTGGGCCTAGATGTCAAGTTTTTAAATTTCAAATCCCAGGTTTTGGCTTCCTCTTTCCTCATCACCTTCATTTACCTCTTCTCTGCTGACGCAGAAAGTAATGGAAAAGCTAGAGATAGTGGAAAGGAGGGGTGTGTGTGTGTGTGTGTGTGTGTGTGTGTGTGGCAATTAGAGGCAGGAAGCCTGCACATCACAATGTCCCCCACAATCAGACTGTAAGAGAGCAGCTATGGATGTAAAAAGATGTCATGACAGTCACAGCAAGGATTGCCACATGCCCATTCCTTTATGAGAGACGTTCCTGCAGTAATGAAGAAGCCAGAGCATAAGGCCACTTAAGTCCCTAAATTCTGAATATTTTATTATCTCTACTTAGAGTAGTACATTTAATTACATACACCAGTCATTCAAATATTTGTTAACAATTATTATGTGCTCGGCACATAATAATATGATTGAGATTTAAAAAAAGCAATGACTACAATTTTCCAAAGTAAAATAAAATAGTTAACATTTACTAAGCCTTTCATATAATCCTATAGCATTTCATATAATCCTCACAAAATTCTTACAACAAAAGTGGAAACTGAGGCACGAAGTTAAGTAAATTTTCCCAAAGTCACAGAACTAATAAATAGTAGAGGCAGAATAAGAACCCAGGCAGTCTTCTTCCATAGCCTGTGTTCTTAACCACCACCCAATTATTCCTGCCAGATCTTGCTCGGCTGGAAGACACAGGTGGTGACACACAGAGATTAATAATATTAATTCATTCCGGCAACCATTTGTTGAATGCTCATTAATACATGAAGCCCAGGGGGCAAATTCTCACAATAAGCCCATAAAGAACTTATCTCCATTACCAGGAAACAGTTTCAGAGAATTGAATTAACATGTTCAAGGTTACAGAGCTATAGTAGCTACTGCTGACATGGTGCTTATGATACACCAGGCACTGTTCTAAGCACTAACTCATCTAATCCTCATAACATTATGAGGTAGGTTCTATCATTATCCATTATTCTTAGTTGAGAAACTTGTCGGAGAACCCTCACTAGTAAGTTGCAAACCCAGAATACACTCTAGCTTAAAGTTCTTATCAAAACAACTTAATGCTGACTCTTTTGAGTACAAAGTGGCAGAAATTCAAAGCCAGGTCTGTCTAACTCTTGAGTGAGAGAGAGCCCTCTCTTTTCTTACCAAAATGCTAAGCAAGGTTCTCAAACCTGCTGTAGTGCAGAGGGTGCTAGGGAAGAAGGGAGTAACAAGAGCTGTGGAGACAACCCCTTCCCCCCAGGAAAGAGCATTTAAGCAGCATCTTGGAGAAAGTGCTTACTGGACAAAGAGGGGCACCATGCAATTTATTATTTTAAAGGAATTGAAAACTACCCTGTTGAAGACTTCGAAAAAGATCACAAAGTAACAAGGAGCAAATAAATTAAATTATTGAAAAGAAAGTGTTTCAGATTGAATCATAAAGGCTTACTCTATTTTAATTTTTTCAATGAGAAAATATTCGTGAAAGGAAAACGAGCTCTTTTCCCTATCATTTGGCTACAAGGAATAGAATGGTGCAATTTGCCTTTTGTAACGTTAAACTCTATTAATTCTGACGTCCAATATTTACTTCCTCAATCTAAGTGCTGCAAGCAGGGTGGTTACCAAACCTTGGAGATCTTTACAAGATTCTCTCCTTCAGATTCTGAAACACAGCATTTAGAAACCACAGTGAGCCTGGAGATTCAGGTCAAGAACTAGAAGGAACTGGTGTGTGCGTTGCTCGCGCGGGGCGAGGGGCCGGCAGGCAAGTTGTGGCTCAAACGCAGCAAAGCCAGGGTTTTCCCCTGGCAAACTGATTTATGATCACAAGAAGCGCAGCTGCGGAACCGGTCAGACCATAAGTATAATTCTCAAACATGAATTTAGGAAGAAGGACCAGGTTGGGATGGGAAAAGTAAGGGGAGGGGGGGGTCCGCGGGTCACTGCCTGTCCTGCGTTCGGCGAAACCTGTCAAGTCTTTATTCTTGCAGCAGCCGGGGGCCCATGGACTCTGCTGCCCAAATTGCGCGCGCTTAGGGAGTTGACACAGCAGCGAGACAGCGGGACAAGGTGCCTCCGCGCCCCCTTGCGGACCCAAATGACCAATGATGAGGTGCGCCTATTTAGTGATAAGGTACAGCGTTTCAAAACGTTCTCAGTTTAGCCCCCACAACGACTATTAGCTCCAATTTACAGATGAAAATGTTGAGGGTCAAACAAGTGAAAGAAGACTTGCCAGCAAAAAAGAAAACCTCAAGTGAAGGCGATCTTTGGGGCTGGCTCCTTTGATCTAGGAGTAAAGATGTGGGGACGGGGACCGGCTCCCAGGGACCCACACCGACTCCTATGGCTCTCCGGGAGGATTAGGAGCCGGCTGTCAGCGGGGAGGCCTGGCAGCGGCCAGGTGCCTGGGAATGGGGAGCGCGCGCGGTGGGTGGCAGCGCGTCTGCGGGCGCCGGGCTGCAGCAGCGAGGCTAGGGCGCAGCGCGCACCACCCGCTCGCCTGCGTCCGCCTGGGGAGCCCCGCGCCAGTCCCGAGTCCGGAGGGCGCCGGGCTGCAGCAGCCAGGCAAGGGCACCACGCGGACGATCCATTCGCCCGCAGCCGTCCCGGGGCCCCGCGCGAGTCGCAAGCCACAAGCCAGAAGCCACGGCGCGCGGGCGCGCGGGAACGCTGCGGACACCGGCTGGCAGTGCCACCGCGAGCCCACCGGCACTGCCCCGCGCCTTACCGTAGCTGCTCCCCGGTGACCAGGACCTCAGCCATGCGCTCTAGCTCTCTTTGCTGAGCCCCGCCACTCCCGCTGTGACTGCTGTCGCTGCCACCGCTGCCAGTGCTGCCGCCCTCCATGCTCGGAGCCGCACCGCTACCACTGTCTTTGCTGGCCGCCGCGGGTTTGGGTGTTAAATCCGCCTGCCCTCACAGAGGCCTCTCCCGCCATCTTTGTTAGGGGCACTCCCGTTGCTCAGACGCGATTGGCTGGAGAGGAAGTCCTGTGGGTAGGCTGAGGATCTGCGCGAGTCCGCTCTTGGAACTCCAGCTTGAGGGCGTGGCTGGAGCCCCGCGTGGTCGGGGGGCGGGGCCGATGGAGGAAAATATAAACATTTGGGCGGGGCACCGGTTCTGTGGTTTTTGTAGGGTGGAGGTTGAATTAGGTGGGCGTGCGTTCTCATATCCACCGAGCTCCTGCTGCGGGGCCAAGGGGACAGGCTGGGAGATTGCCAGACAACTGTGAAGATATTTTTATTAGACTTCCCATGTCCCAAATTGCCAGAGAGTGAAAATAATAGTGTAGCTGGATAGTGAACAACGAAGGATATGCAGGTTACTGCAGGACACGGAGAAAGTAAGCATTTTTCTCTTCCCGATTCCTTTCACCAAAGACAGTTTACTTACTTTATGGCGTAATCAATAAAGAACGCTGGCTCCACGCCTATAATTTCCTACCTAATTGTGCTTAATCCTCAGATTCTGTCTTTACAAAATAAATATAATTGTGGCTACCACTTGTTAACATCTGCGGCATTAAAGATGCTTCAGGTAGTTGTTACTTTCTTTAATTATTGCAACTAATCATAAAATAGGTATTGTCCTTGTTTTACATCAGGAAGCAGCCTCAGCGAGATGGGATAACTTCTCCAAGGCAAGAAGCTTGAAAGAGCAGGAAGTAAAAAATCAAAGCCAGGACATTTTGGCTTCAAAGTTGTGTTCTTAAAAGACTGCCCCTTAAAAATATGACGTGTTGTTTACCTTACAAGGAATATGGAAGGAACTTTGACTAGTGCCAAATAAATGTCCTCTTTTTCTGTCTTATGCAGGGGCAGAGCTTGGTCTACAGGAGTCTGCAGGAGAATGGAGTAATGCTAATGGCATTAGCCATTGTAGTAAAGGGATATCTGTGTGTTGATGTTTAATGCAGTTGTTACAGTATTCGCATGTATTCAGGTCTCTGTGCCTTTACAACAAGTAAATGTGAGACTTATTTTAAATTCACAATATTTTGAAATGTGATCTCTCAAATGCAGATGTATAGTCGAAATCTACAGAATAAAAATAAAATGAAAGGGCTGTTGAAAACCAGCTTCTCTTCTTTGTATACCAATTCTGCCACTCAAGAGTATTTATACCCACTATCTTGCAGGCTTATTATCTTTTATTGTTCTGTTTTGTCATTGGCATTTTGTTTTTAAAGATCACAACAGCCTTTTCCAACATTCTATAAGATCACTACTTAACTTAAAATTTGCAACATTTCATTGACCATTTATTCTGTGCTTTATGTGGTGCTAAGCATTTTGGTTATATTATCTAATTTATTCTCACAAAAACTGAGTTAAGTATCTTAAGTATAAAAATCTTAAGTATAGAAAGGTGAAGTAATTTGTCTACATTTCACACCATGAAAGTCAGTCAGACAGCCCTAGAACCCTACTTCTGTAAACTCCCAAGTCTATGTTCAACCACACTTCAGAAGGAGAACAATTGTCCAACTCGCTCATGAATCCAACAAGATATTAGTCAACTCTTTCACCAAAAGAAATTATCTAAACTTCTTAACTTTTTAAATATACTATGGCAAAAATTAGACCAAACGAGAAAAAGTTCCAAGTGAATATGATTCTCAGAGCCTTATTCTGCATAAAATTAATTCATTTAACAGAAGTAGACATCCCAGAGTTAATGAGTTTAACAGATAGTATTTGCTCATATTTTCATCCTATAATATAGAATAGCAAGAGTTTGCATTGGCTTCACACTCAAACATGCAGTTTCTTTTGTGAATGTTTTCACAATAGTGATATGATTTACATATGTAGGTAGAATTTTTTCTCCCTTTTAAATCTAGTCATGTTTTCACTTGAATTTGGGCATCTTTCTTTATCTGAAAAATAAAAATAAAGAATATTTCTTTGTAGAAGACTTTCTTGTTTAATAGTTTCTGATAAAAAGTTTTTGATGTAAAACTCATCATGAAAGTTTATGATTCAAAATACTAAGATAAAAATAAGCACCTTAACATAGAAGCAAAAAAAAAAAAAAATTCAAGTCAGGAAAATACCTGTTACCACAACTCCAGTGAGAGGAAAAAGGCAGAATTTTCATGCTTGACAAGGCTTGTGTGTGTGCGCGTGCGCGTGCGCGTGTGCACGCGCACACACTTATGTAGACGTGAACAGGAAATGAGGAACTGGTTGCTGTTATTGTTTTAACCTTTCTTTTGACATACGAGGCACACCATGCTCCACTGGGTTAGGAGACAGGCCCTTTTTCCTAACTTAGGGAAAAGTGAGTGAACTGGCTCCTGAGGACATGTGAGCACCAAAGTGGGACTGTGAGCTCTGGGGCAACTGGTCCCAGAATAAACTGTGATCTGTAGGTATTTATAGACAAGAAAAGGGCACTGACAAGGTGATTAATTCAATGCGAAGATCTTAGAAGGGCTGAAAAATCAGACACCTCAGTGTGTGATTCCTGGCTTGTATTGGGGCAAGTTCATTATCTTCTCTGAATGTTCTGACTCCTTTGTAAAGTCAAGATCATACCATCAATCCTATTGGGTTGTTAACATTATGAAATAAAATTTAATGAGTGCGCTTGTTACAGATGGGAACTATTAAATGTGAGCCTTCTCCGGCTTGCCTCACTTACCGGCTTCATACCTTCTGGTGCTCTGAACCAGTTCTTATCAAACTTTTGGTGAGTAGGGACCAGTTGTGTGTGTATGTGTGTGTGTGTGTGTGTGTGTGTGTGTGTGTGTGTGTGTGTGTGTGTGTTTCCTATTGCTATCCATAGGGTTAAAGACTGTTTGGTAAAATATAATAAAAATGAAATTTCAAAAACATACAAAACAGAAGCCCAATTTTTTTTTTATTGTTTTGGTTAATAGAAAATTGTCATGTTGCTATAAACATTTCTAAATTATTTCTTTCAATATATGTCTCAGGGTCTGTCATTACAGTGTGGATGGAAAAATGGGATCTAGAGAAAGTAAGCTCATGGGGTGATCTGATCATAAATTCTTAACTGGGCAGGTCAAGGTAGGTAGTCACGCCCCAGGCCTGTAACTTCTTTACTAAAAAGACTTATTTTTGCCTTAAGCAAGCCCCATCTGTTGTTTCTGTGCATCTAGGTTAACACACCATGGAAACGCCCCCTTACAGGTTCCTCTTTCTAAAGTACACAAGAGAGCACAGAATCTTAACTATTCTGTATGATCTTCCTTAAGGTCCCTCCTTAATCTCAAATACATAAAAGAAAGTCCAAACTGTTACTCTCAGAAGAATTTATCTGTCTGTTGAGATCTTGCTTCCAAGTATATGTGCTGTTTTGCTCAAATAACTTTTTATAAAAATTTTCTACAGGTTTGTATGTTCTTGGACAACCAGTCGTGGTCACCATTTGGCAGACCATGCTTTGAGTAGTACTGGTTAAGGGCGAACAGCGATGTAAGAAGATGAACTTGAATCAAACGTGTGAAATAATATTGTCAATGATGAAGCTTAAAACCATGTTAGCTGTCATTATTGCTGTAGCCTCTTAATATATACCTGTATCATTTCTGCCTAATCTTAGAGATTAACTCAAATCCCCTTCTCTGTGATATTGTCTTTCCTTCATTCCCCCAAGCAGTTTGTTGCTCTTTCCATTGAATTTTCCTGGTATCAGAAGATCTACGTTGTTCTTAACCATTAACCCAACTCCTGATTCTTCTGCTGCCACAATTTTTATTCTTTCTCTGCAAATGGAGCAGGCTGATGGTTTAGCAAATCCTGTTCAGACGTTACTGTTGATAGATTCTTAAAATAAAGAGCTTGTCTTTAAAAAATATATGTAAAGATAGAGAAAAACAAAATGTTCATGTTTTCAGAGTTTTCTTCGTCTTAACCTGGGTTCTGAGTAGTTCTTGATGCTGAAGGCGGAAAAAACGCTTAATACCTTGGTGTATGCTGCCACCTAGTGATAGCTTTTGCAATGACACTAAATGAGAGGGTCTCCTGTAAGAAAATTTGGGGCCGCACTCAGGAGTGCCTGCCTTTTGAGAAATTTAGGTGGAGGATGTGGTATGTCACATTATTAGAGATGCTACTGGCTTTTAGTAAGCAGGAAGTGGGGATGCTACATATTTTCATTTGCTTGGAACAGCACTCCACAAAGAAGAATTGAATTGTCCTAAATCCAGAATGTCTTTCTTACGTCCGACTGTGGATGAAAAACCTGTTTGCTGTTATCTGAGCCTAGCAGCTAATTTGGTTTTATATAGAAACACAAGATATTTTTAAAACTATTTTAATATAATCCTGAATTGTCCAGGCATGTGACTATTGTGTACATCAGGAAGAGACTGTATTTTTTTCTTTTCAGAACTTTACCAAGGAAGGTTCATCATTGCATAAAATTGTTTCACTTGCCTTTTATGTGACATATGCACTATGAATGCACCACACCTTTTTCAGTCTGCATTTGTGCTGATTCTATGTATGTTTGTATAGGAATATATTATTTCGCTGAATTTTAAAATGCCAAACAAAAGAAGTGATGTTGTGGGGATGAGGAAAATTTCCCTTTCCCTCTTAGTTCTTCTGCCTGGTCAAATAAGGTGGATTAACAGGTGAAAATCAAGTTTTAATACTTGCACAGAGAGTTCACATAAGCATAAAAATTCCAAAGACAGTGAAGTAAAATGAGGTATATATGTCATTCTGGACCAGGGACTGGGAGGTAAGGGTCTAAGACTTCAAAGGGAAATAAATAAATTTAAAAGAAGATAAAAAGAGTTAATGTTTAGTAAACAAATGTTTATTAGGCCATCTTGAAACAATGGTACATAGGGCTTTGATTAAAAAGGCCTTTCTGGGTTCCTCCCTGTCTATCAAGGCTAGTTTAGAGTTAACAATGGTTATCATTGATAATACCTGCCTTCCTCCAGCAGGTCCTCGTCCTCTATCTAAATTCTTTTAGGCAAGGAGAAGGT